GCCAATCGATAGCTGTCAATCATTGGTCGAGAATTGGCCATGCGACGTTGGGCCATTACCAGCGAATAATTCAATGCTCACGCGCGGTTTATAATTTTTTAAGTGTACTTTTTTTGTAATGATATTAGACTCGCAATCTACACGAGTGAGGTAAACGCCGTTATAATCGAGGACGTTTCCGTCCCGAAATGATAAACTGGATAAGTCTTTGTATGTCCATGCAGTCGAAGCATGCGAAGACAAACGTAACGTGGACGTAAACTGGAACGTTTATAAAAATTAAAACCTATAATTCACTTTTATGTGATATAAAATCTTATAAAAACAGGGAGATATTTTCTTTATGATGTAATCTCCGCTCGAATCAAAATTTAAGTCGCGTTTTTAATCATAGATTTATTTCTAACACGAAACAAAATTAATCTCCGTGGCAAAATTAAATTTAATGATTAAGTGAAGAAATATATATATATACATACAGGGTGTCCCAGATCAATATAGACAAATTTCATAAGGACGTAAAATAGATTGAGGTGAACATAAAATCCTGTACCATTTTGCCAACAATATATAAAATTTCGAATTATCAATTATTGAAAATAGTCATGTATAGAGACTTTTTAATTAATAACTTTTAACTAAATTTTTAACTAAAATTTTTAAATAAAAATTTGTGTGTTATTTGCAGAATGATACAGGACTTTTTTGTTCAGAATAGCCTAATCTACAATTATATGACAGCTGTTGTATCTAATTGTAATGACAGATACCAGTATATTGAACCTTGAATCTTTCGCTAAGTACAGCAGCTGTCATATATTGTACTACATATTTATAGATTGGGCCACTCTGAACAAAAAAGTCCCGCACCATTTTGCAAATAACGCAAATTTTTAAGTTATTAATTAAAGAAGTACATGGCCACTTGCCATAATAATTAATAACTCGAAATATTGCGTGGTGTTTGTAAAAAGATGGTAGAAGACTTTTTTGTTCACTCCCGTTCTACATTCTCACGAAGTTCGTTCATGTTGATCCGGTACACTCTGTATACATTAAGAGATTAAAAAACTAGACTTAAGTTTGGAAAAATTAGATGTAATGATATGTTGATACCGATAATTTAATCGATATAGAGAAACTTTCTACTCCCTTTATCGGAAGCGAAACAGTCTAAGCTTCCGAATGCAATCTATTACACGTCGCTACGATTTTTCTATGCGAAAGTATTAACGAGCGGTGAAATCGTTTGGCCGGGACTAATGCCGCCGACAGTGTTGTGGTCCGCTTTTTTAGGCGAGCTCGCCGCTGCTTGGTGTTGAAAGAGGTGTGAAGTCCGCAGCGCGGATAATACTATTAGGTTGGTGCGTATGAAATGTCGCATTCTCTTTACATGCGGACGTTTTCCTCCCTGTTTTCGTTATACTTTTGTATTTGGCATAACCTCATTCATACTCGTATTGTCCATTGCCAGAGACTCATTTCAACAAAATAGGTTTTCTCGAAGGTCTTCCCTTTTTTATTTCTTTTGAGTTTATTACCGATATGAATTCTGCCGACATTCGCGTCATTTTCTTATATGAGTACAAACTTGGTAATAGTGCTGCAAAAGCTGCACGCAACATAAACCAAGCGTTTGGGGAGAATACGGTTAACAATCGGAAAGTGCAGCGTTGGTTCGAAAAATTTCGGACTGGCGATTTTTCACTGCAAAATGAGCCGCGCGGAAGACCCAAAACGTCTGTGAATAATGATGACCTGAAGGCTCTAGTGGAAGCGGATCCAGCCGTATCCACGAGGGAACTTGCTATCAGGATGAAAGTTGACCATACAACGATATTGAGACACCAAATTGTACTCCCATCGCTTGTGAATCGGCATGGCCCGCTACTGCTCCATGACAACGCTCGGCCGCACACATCGCACAAAACAATTGCGAAACTGAACGAACTGGAATATGAAGTTTTGCAGCATCCACCATATTCACCGGATCTCTCGCCGACCGATTTTCATTTTTTCAAGCATTTAGAGCTGTTTTTAAGAGGCAAACACCATGAAAATGAAGACAGTCTAAAAAACTCGATATCAGAGTTTATTAATTCTAAAGACCAAAATTTTTTTAAGACAGGCATCTACGCTTTAAAATCTCGTTGGGAGAAGTGTATTGAAGCGAATGGAGCATACTTTGATTGAATAAACAGCTTTTGAAGAAAGATATACAGTTTTATACAATCACTTAAGAATCCGACATTTCATATGCACCAACCTAATATAATGTGCCACGCGCGCGCAACGTCGATCAGCGGCAAGTCCTTCGGTCCGCTTTCAAAATTCCCAACACTTTGAACGCCTCTATCTCGGCGAAAAATTTACGTAAGAACAAGATTCAAATGCTATTCTTCCCGGTCTTTCACGTACTACGCATTTTATGCTTGTTTCATACGCCATTGTCATGACACACATGTCATGATTATACATATAAATAATTGACAATGATATTCATGTAAGCAATTGTATGCAATGCACACGAAACATATCGTTGCGTATGTTTTAAAGTTTCGAAAAAACCGTTTTTCACCATTTTTCCGCAGATTTCCTTGGTTTCTTCTTTACAGAAGAAAGTAAATGTAGCAGGTTTTAACCGAACATACGTGAACTTTTCTAAACGGATTTTTGCACCCTCAGAACAGAACCCGAAGAAATCCGCGGAAAAATGGGGAAAAAGTTTTTCTGAAACTTTAAAACTGTATATCGTTATACAGATATACTAAAATCTATTTAGATATGAAGTAGAGATCGCCGAAAGTTTCTGTCGCGTAAAATACGAAGTTTCACATACATACGTATATATACAGATATATACTTTTGTTCGAAAAATTTTACATAGAGATTCTCGCGTAATCTATAATTTTTCTGAAATAGTACGCACATGATTTGAAGACTTAAAACAATATTGCATGATTAACGACGAGTATTACGCGAAAAATGCATTATTGGCTGACATAATTGTGAATGCTTGGTCGAGAATCGGTTGCTCGATGCAAAGTCAATCGTAAAATCCTATATGAGTGTCAGCAATCAATTAATTGCACTGCTTGCTACACGAATAGCACTTACGTGATATGGTGGAGTACATATATGTTAAAAGCATTTTGTAATAAATATGTAATTCAATCGAAAAGAGTTTAAATTATTAGGCAAATAAAAATTAATTCGTTAATCGAAAAAATAAAAGAAAACGTAAATAAAAACTGTTGAGCAGATGACATTTTAAATATCATTAGTAAGAGTTAAGGTCTTGTTAAAGCTTAAACCCTAAAGTGGTCGCGTACTTAAATGACAAATAACATGAATAATCGCATGGAAGACAAGTGTCCTCTATAGCCTAGCATCTTTAGTAAATCTATAAACAATGAATTAAATGGATGAAATTGTTACAGAAGCCAATAGAGATATAATACCAAAAGAAGATATTTCCATAATCAGCCCACTTCACAGAATAAGAGTGACTATAGTACAATAAAGAAGTTATTCTTCACTCCTCGATGTAAATTAAATTTCAAAATATTTAAATCAATTTAAAGCTAAACAACGTAGCTTCCGTCATGCATGAGAACCAAAATCATGTTTCCACCTATAACGAAATTACCATTGAAAAAACATGAAAGTTGTACTATAGTCACTCCATTTTACGGTACAATAATTTCAGTCGACCGTTTTTAACACAAAAGTTTTTAATGTATCAATTAAATGATACATAATTAGGAAAATTCCGGGAAAAATCACTGATAATATCCTAAGAACTCGATAAAAAAGAAAATAATAAAAGACACTTTTTAATAAGAAAATAACATTTGTTATATTTGACATTATAGATATGTCAATTTAATATATAATTTGCTTTCAAGTAATATCAAAGTGTTATATTTTTGGTGGTATTTTTTGACATAATATTTGTGTTGCTTTTCAACATATCCCTTCTGCATTAAATTCATACAAAAACCGTTTGGAACATGTGAAATGTGTTAAATTTAACACAACTTTTTTACTGTCTGGAGTAAGTTTTAATTTTTCTCAAAATATCGATCTTACAAATATTTTTCTGATATCTATGGATATCTGTGTGACATGAAAACTTTTCCTTTTAGAAGTTAAATGCGATCACGTAATTTGGAAATCTATCGTGAAGCCATTCGTGTTAATTAGTCGGGCAAATAAATTTCGCATTCGCTTATATCATGTACAAACATTATCAATGAGATAGATAGATAGGCAAATAGGTAGATAAATAGATAGATACGTACACGGATAAATAGATAGATAGAGAGACGTCGTCCGGTTGATATATTTTACATGAACTTCGCTTCAGATATTTTCGGGATAAACATAGACTAAACAGCGACTAAAATTCACGTCTGACAAGTTGACGGCGGTAAGTGTTTGAGATTGTGCGAGGTTGAAATTAAAAATTAACAAATATGTGTCAAATTCCACGGTATCAGCTAAGTCAATGAGAACTAAGCTCTTTGATCGACAGTCGTAATGCATGAACATCCGGACATTCGACTTGAAAATCCGAAACCCGGACCAAGAGGCACCACAGACGCCTTCTGCGGCACACCGACGGCTCGAACATCCGAGGACAACTTTCGCATCGTTCGCTTCGACCGATAACCCCCGCCTTCCACATGCGAATCGCGCGGAAACACTCAGGATTCACTCAGCTCTTCAAGGTTCTCCATATTACTCGCTGTTAATCAAGTCGGCAGGAAAGTTCGTATCTCGCCGCGACTTCGAGCGATACGCGACTGCCGTAGCGACCATAGGTATATCGCGAGATACATCGCTGCTGCGCAGGTCGGCAGATGGCGATGCTGGACTATTTGGCGAGCAGACAGCTGGCAAGGGCGCCTTTCGTGCGTTCGCTTGAATGGGAGAGCCAGCCGGCTGCTCGGCGACTGGTTGCCAGGCCGGCCGGCACTTGGCGTACCATCGTCGCGCGGTACGTTTCGTCGCGTCGTTCCGCGCGCGTTACCGGTTTCGCCGTCGCCCGCTTCTGTCCATCTATCCGTTCATCCGTCCGTCCGCAAATCTTGAATCGCGAGAGAGAGAGAATCTTATCCGCGCGATCTTGTCGCGAGCGACGGTTCCTTCGAAGCATATCCCCGCAGACGATGCCGCGCATATACAACCTCCGGAGTCCAAACACACTCGGAAAAACGCGTGGCGAAGGGAACCCGCGGCCGATTATTCGACTCGCGCCGTGTGCCCTCGATCGATTCGATTGATCTCGCGAGTCGGACCTCGGGAGTGCGGAGTGAAAGTGTCGAAAGGAATAGAGCGAAAAGAGAAAGAATAACAGCGAGACGCGGTGGATTTTCCGAGAGAAAAAGAGACGAGAACAGTGATAGAAAAAGCGGAGAGCCGGTGGGACATGAAGTCGTGCCGGCGGCACGGGGGATCCTCCGCGGAATCCGGCCGACTTCGCCGAGGAGCGGCTCGCTCCTGCGGTGGCGCGGTGCTCCGGTGATGAGGAGTGAGCGCGGACGCCGCTCGCCCGTGCGTGTTACGCGCGAATGGCCAGGAGGACGTTACCATTCAGCAAGAAGCGCGACAGCAACAGGAACACCAGGAGGCCGCCGGCACCAGCGCCGTGATGCCGTTCGTGATTCGAAAGGTGGAGCCGCGGCACCTGTGCCGCGGCCACGTGCCGGCGGGCTCTCAGGGTTGGCCGGTGGGTGCCGAGCTGGAGGCGGAGGCGAACGGCGCCCTCACCAGCTCCCTCAAGCAGCTGGCCTCTCTTCTGACCGCCGCGGAGGACATCTTCGCGAGCCTCACCGTCGAGCTGGCCCGTGTCACCGACAGGAGTGGCCACCTGCGTCGTAGGATCGACAAGGTCGAGGAACGATTGGGCACGGTCGATCCCAAGAAGATACCAGTCCGTGAGTATCCGTTCCGTTCGCGGAGTCTTTTCGCGCGGCGCGGTAACTTACCGCTCGCCGCGAAATTTCGGCAGGTGCAAAGGTCGGCGAGCGACTAGGCAAACTTCCGTACATACGAGCAGTCGCGGAACGCGAAGCTGATGGGAATGGTAATATTTATACGGAGATTGGTCGGAATTTGTGTCGAGAGAGGAGAAATTTAGACACGGGTTGCGGTTGCAGGAAGCCTCCGTCATAGCGGAAATTGCGAACCGTTGCCGTTGAATAAAGTTGGGAAATTAACGAGTCGCGTAGCGTAACACGGCGTAGGAAAGCAACGCACCGGGGCTCGCGCTCGAATCGCTCCGATTTCGCAAGACCGCTCGACAGTTACGACATTTTTCCGCGTCGCGCGTGAAACCCGAGGCGGCACCTCCGTAACGCTGACACTTCGATACGATTGCAATTACACTCGATCGCCGGCCGATCGAGTGACCAATAGTCACCGGATCTTCGTCCGGCTTCTACCGCATCGGCGAACGCGGATCCCCTCCCAGCGAGAATTCGAGAAAACTATTACCTTTTCGAGACAAGCTATTTCACCGATTACCGCTATCTCTCTTTCTTTTCTCTCGGTGTTTACGAAAGTTACGCTTTCAACAGTGTTACAACGCTGTGACTCTCGGCGATCTTTTCGTTCGCTCGCCGCGGGGATCCCGGGACATACCTGGGCTTGATTTCACGGAATATTTCGCAAGGGCAAAGTGAAAAAGAGGCGACGAGAGGTATAGGGAGAGAAAAAGAAAGAGGAGGAGTGAAAGAGAGAGGATGATAAGGGCGAAGAGAGGGAGAAAAGAGACGCGCCGAGACCCACATTACAGGGAAAACCGTTCCGGGTTACCTGGCGCAGCGTGGGAAACGGATCGCGAGGAGCGCCGAAAGCGAGTTTCACCTGAGGAGAGCTGGGGAAGATTAGCTGCTCCCGCTGGATGCACAAAGAGGACCCTGTCCGTCGCGCTTTCTAACATACCTCTTTTTCTCGGGGACAAGAAGCGCGACCTGAGGGCGTGATTACGGGAAGGGGGGAGAAGGAGTTACCTTTAATGAGTCGCGCGAAGCTATCGAAGCTATCAACTTCTCGCTCCACCTCGTCCCGGAGGGGCGTAATCGAAAGAATCGAATAGAATCGATATCTGTCGGATGCGATCCCGCGGAACGGCCAGTCCTAATCGTGTCCGGAAAATAGGATGCCACATAGGATCCTTCCCACTTAGAATCATATGTTCGAAATATCGCACTTCCGACCCAAGAATCCCCGTAGATCTCCCAACTAGAATCCATAATTATTTTGGGAAAAATCCGACCGTATCCCAATCAGATCGCAAGGGATTGTTGCACGCGAGTACAACTGTCGCGAATCTCGCACATATTCGAACTGTCAAGAAAGGACTATTCGATCTCTTCGTGTCGGCTTGGATTATTCCCGTGCGCGATCATGAAATGAAATCCCGGTCACGCAAGGGGTCAACGCGACGATCGAGAGAGGCTGGCGGAAACGATCGGCACCGCGAGCGAAAAAGCCTCTGCCGGTTTGAGCGTCATCGGAGCCGCGAGAAATTAACGTCGCGTTTAATTTACGGGCCATACCTGACGCCGTGACGCGCACGAATCCCGTTACCGCGAACAGTCGTAAAGCCGGAAAAACCGATTTATTACCGCGCGGCTCCGCCCGCGGAAACAACAAGCGCGGCGCGCTTTTCCTTCGCCGATCGGCGCCGACTTCTCCGGCGATGCGTCGGAAAGACGTGGACTCGAGCTTTCTCTGCTTTCCTTCGTTCCAACTACGTGCTATTGTAAACAAATGTAATAGGAGAACCGAGGCGGACAGCCTTTCGACGGCGCTTCGCTGTCACCTGTTCCGAGATCTCTTCTACGCTGAAAGAAGGATTTGGTAACAATTATCAAGATTTGGTCAATATGTTTCAATCAAACGTTTCATTACTGTAATCAAAACCGATTAGCTTGTGATCATGTATCATATTATAATATCACATATAGTATATATAGTATATGATATACAATATATATATACAGATATGATGATATAGCTTGTGATTACAATAATCAAACACTTGGCTGAAACACATTGATCAAATCTTGATAATTGTTACGAAATACTTCATCCGATGCACGAGACCCGAAGACTCTTCTTTCAAATTCCAACGACGCGCTTCATCTTGATACCTTCACCAGAAACGGATTGAACTCACTGAGGCGATTAATTGAAATCCAAACATCGCGATTCCCCCGACGGTTTCTAATGAGAATCCGGAATCGCGACGTAGCCGTCTCTTCACCATCGCGGGGCCGGGATGGACGCGGGTACGTTCCATGGCTTCCATCGGCAAACAGCTGAGGCTTCTTCTTCGTCGGGTCGGGCGTTGCGCCGCCAGCCGTAAGAGAACGCTTGTTCGGCCCGGCAGACGACCGTAGGATACGATAGGAAAGAATCCGCAACGCTCCTCCGCCAAGCCTACCGTAGCGAGTCCTGAGCGCGAAGCTGCCTTTCTTGAGACAGCTGACTCAGGTAATCGGCGGCACAAACGGTGCCGGGCTCCGTGCCTTCCCCGCAGGGCCCCTGGGAATTTTAATTCCCAGGGGCGAACAGACTCCTCCGCCGGCGGGAAGGAGCGGATAAAATAACGTCCGCACCGGGTGTAACGTAATACCGGTGCGTGCGCTTATGCGCGTGTATTTCGGATACACTCGATTCGGAAAGAAGCGCGACGCGAACACGACGAGACGTGAACATTTATCGGAACGCGGAAGCAAATTTCCTCTAAATGATTTTCGTGGGAAGGGGGGAATCCACTAATGTAAATATTTATCGAGAGAAAAACGGATACAAATTAATTTCGGATAGTGCAGAGCACTCGAATGAACTCGTTATTACGCTTGTTTATTGTGTGTCACGCTTATGACCGCATGTCATTTATAACACGGAGTTAAGTGCGCTTAAACGCTCCGGAAAGATTATTAAGATGTCGTCGCGACGTGATTAATAAATTATTACGTCCGCTAGATAATATTCCTATTGCCGGCGACGTGCAACGTAACTTCTCCCGAAGCTATACGAGGGCCGCGAGCAGCGGTTGAAAGTATGGTTAGCCTTGAACCTTCAGGCTCAGATATCTCGCCGGGGATATCGCGGATCTTGGTGAAATCAGGATTTACATTCCCGGGGGGACACCGAGGTCGAGCGGCAAAATATTGACGTAAACATATCACTTACGTGCCAGTTCGCGCAGCGACGAAATAGACAGTTTTACGAACGATATCCAACCCCGGGCTCATAAATATCGCCACGACCCGCTTCGCTCGGAGATATTCGCGAGTATTCGCTTGCTGACGAAAATCGCCCGAGTCCAAATCCTCTTTGATTCTCTCTTTAATTAAACGACATTATAATTATAAAATAGTCTTCGAAAGACTATATTTTAATTGGCAAAAAACACTCGAAATTGACAAAATCGAATCATGCGAAAGTTTGCATAATTAATTGTATATAAAACGACGGAATGACGAAATCTGCGAGTTAATCGCACCAGGGAAATATTAATAAATCCATATTTGCATTTAATCCGAGGAATTTAATATTATCAACGTGTTTCTGCAATATTACGTTCTTGACGGCTTGTGTCGGAGTTATGGCGCTTTTTACTGACCTCCGTGGAAACGGCCGCACGCAGGATGTGGTCTGACCCGATCGTGCAAGTTCATTCGTGTTCCGAACTACGAGCGAGCAGTTAGGTCGATGGGTTTCCCATTGAACGTCGGTGTCGGGTTCCGTGAAATTACATTGTTCTTCTAATTTATTACGCTGACGGAAAGATAGGTTTTATCCATCGTTCTTTACTTGTTTCGGAAAAGGCCACTCGGAAGGTCATTCGAAATAATTTTCTTTCCTCCGACGTGCACGTTTCGAACACGTGTGTTGCAAATTCACCGAATGAAAAGACCACACATTGTTTAACCCTCTAATGGCAAGATGGATTTTCAGAACGTCGAAGCGTTTTTCCTCCGTCAAGATATTTTTCTGCAATTATTTCAAGTTAGTTAGTAAACTTTATTGTATTTTGTTCATCTATATGCAAACAGAGGAAGAAGTTGCATGCTATTATTTATTTCTTTTATCCATTTCGTGTATTCATTAGATGAAAAATGAACAAAACAGAGAATGGGATCGGATCCGACTTCAACCTTACCATTAGAGAGTTAATTTCAAAATAAATCTCTGAACGTTTACTGTGAATAAACGTTCGCATTTTTTCCCGGATAAATACGTTGGTTTCCACTTTTAACATTTTGTAGAAATGCACCGGCTCTATTTCACCCTTCCCTCATATTAATGTTTACATCCGAGAGTGTTGAAGATCACTTTCACAGGTTATTAGCATGCCTCTCGCGCGGGATTGAACACGAAACTTCGGCGAGAGTTCCCTCTAAGTAAATATACTGATATATTTCAAATTTACCGCCTACCCTTTAAGCAAATATACGAGATCCTTGTAATCGAGTCCGCGGCTACCTGTTTGAATAATCCTGTTTGGACGAAGGCACTAATTCATAAGCACGCCGTGATGTTTCCGCTTCCACATGGAATTTATGATAAAGCGCGGAAGATTTATGACTGCGGCACTCGTGAAAGATCGTGCCGCTCACCTTCCGTTTTGGAAATTAAATTACGAGGTGCCTACAGGGGAAAAAACGAGCTTGGACATTTCCCGGAGACTGCGTAGAAAAAGTCTCTTCTCATGAAATATAAATTTTACTCACCACGATAAGTTCAATGTAAAAATTTCAATTAACAAATTTAAAAAAAATTTGTATACAACACAACCTGGTAAATTGATATACGCTTGATTTTCTTACACGGAGAAGATATTGTAGTGAAAATCACCACAACATTTTACAGTGCTGAACCGGAATTACAACTGAAGTTATTACATATGTTGTAATTT